TCTGAGGTCTCTTTTCCTTGTCGCCTGTTCTGATTCAGATGCCGCCCAGTGTGTCATAGAATAGTCTTTTGTCTTTCACAACACTCTAACTCACTTCTCCCTTCATTCACTGCAGTGTACATTGAACCCAGCTTCTCTTTCTGTTGTCCATCTTTGCATTGAGTTATTTCTCTTTCACCATGCTCCTCTCCTCTCTCCTGTTAAATTCCAGAAGTCCGTAGAGAGCCATTCCATGCTTTGCCTCTTCTTTCTTCCTAAATTGGTTGTGTATGTTTCCTTGAATATCAGACACTGAGAGTTCCAATGTTCTTCCACTCAGGTTTCCCCTGTGATGCCACATAGTGCCTCCGACTTTGCTCTAATGGCTTAGGTAAAGATGTATTTTGCAGTTTCGCCTCTCAGTTCCTGGGTGTTGAAGTTTAATTATGACTCATCTCCAGCTCCTCTGATGGTTCTCCACTTGGCCTTGAAAGTACCTTGCATCAGTTAGTAGTCCGAGAGTACACCTGCTTCTCTTCTCACTTCCATGTTCACTAATCTCACTCTCCAATCCCTTGATATTCAGATGAAGTTTATCTGATCTCTGGTGAAAACTATGTCGCCTTGTGCATATTCTTTTGCTTGTAAATGCTACCCCAATCACCAAATCACTGAAGAGTCGAAGTTACCAAACAGTTCTCCATTCCCACTCATTCCACCAAGAGCTCCTCCAACCCATGACGAATTCTTTTTTTATGTTGTTTGCTACCCGTTTAGCATTCACATCGCTTATAAGGATTTTGATATCGCTGTTTGTTATCTTTTGTGTTGTTGCTTTCAGTTGTCTGTAGTCTTCCTTCTTCCCTTGTTCTGAGTTGTTTGTGGGTGTGTTGCGTTGGATGATTGCTATTTTCTTCCCTTCTGAATTGAGTGATGCTGTCATTGTCGTGGAGGAGATCGTTTCTGACTGAATAAGGGCCTTGGCTGAGATTGGTGATATCGTGACTGTCTTGTCTCTTCTTTTCCCTAGAACATTTGTACATATTTTCTTGAATATCACACAATGAGAGTTCCAGTGTTATTCCACACAGGTTTCTCCAGTGATGACACATAGTGTCTCCCACTTCGCTCTCATCTGATCTGTAGTGAACGCATCGCTTGTGGTTTCGTCCCTCAGTTTCTGATTACTGAACATGAATTTAAGTCTGTCTCCATTTGTCCTCAAGGTTTTCAGCTTCACCATGAAGGTTCCTAGAACTAGATGATGGTGTAAGCCCACATATACTCCCCTTATCGACTTTGTAATCAGCAAGATGCAAGTCCGCTTCCTTCAGCAACCTTGACATGAAATCTGTCTAGTTTGTGGTGAGTCTGTCAGGCGAAATCCATGTTGCTTCGTGTAAATCCTTGTGCTTGTACACGCTTCCTGAGATCACTAAATCAATGAAAGCACAGAAGTCTATGAAGAGTTCTCCGTTCTCATTCATTTCGCCGAGCGCCAGCCTCTCGACAGATGATGAAGTCTCTTCCTGTATTATCTGCCTTCAGTTCGGCTTCCGTTCATATCGCCTACAAGGATTTTGATATAATCATTCTGGATGTTGTCCATTACTGTTTGTGGTTGTCTGTAAAAATCTTCCTTCTTCTCTTGTTCCGCGTTATTTGTAACCCTGTGCGTAGCATTGGGTAAGTGTGACTTTCACTTTTGCCATTTGGATTGAATCTTGCTCTCATTGTCGTGGAGGAGATTGTTTCCCACTGCATAATAGTCTTGGCTGCAGTTGGTGATATCATAACTGACACTACCTCAGTGTGCTTGTGATTATCATCTGAATAACTGGAGTAGATTTTTGATTCTTCAGTTGACTATTTCGATGGTCAAAATTCATTCCAACTGCCCTCGTAAACTCCTAGTACTTCCACGACGTATTTTCTCACGTCTTTGACAACCTGAGGAGTCTTCCCAGCTTCGTACATTGTACGAAATTTCAGTGTGATCATTCTGATTCTTGTTTTCATCCACAGAAACATATCAGCTGACTGTTTTCCGGAAGACCTCCAGAGGCCCGCGCTTTTTTTCCCTCTGATTACGTGGTACTCAACGGCACAAAGGAAAAAATGGTTAAAAATTTGATAATGTTATTATTTGCTTTTGAGTAAGAATAGCAATAGCAATTTTAACCTTACCAAATTTCAATTTTTTGCCGTTGAGTATCACGTAATTTACAACTTTTAACTTTCACTTCTAAAGCCACTTCCAAGTAATTATGTCAACTAAGTCACCCCCTATTACTGAATAATAGACCATTTTTTTAAGTTTAAATACGACTGTACACAGCCTATGAAGATGATTCCGTCGATAAAGAATATTTTCTTCGCTGAATTTGTCCTTTATTTTATTCATGACTTAATGGGTATTTTCTGTGATTGAATACGCTGAGAACTTCTGCCTCACCTGTTAACACACAGTGTGAAAAATATCTTTGTAACTATAACTAAAAAGAATTAAGTAGCCTATTTTCTGACCAAGAAAGTGGACAATAAAGTGAAAATACTTCACATTAATATCTTCAGTTTGAAACAAATCTTAACTAACGTCGTTTTGGTTCTCTCTGTCCAAAAAACAGTTGTGAAACTTTGCATCAATTTTTGATGGTTTGGACTCCACATTATGTTTAATTTTTCCTACTGCATAAAAGTGATGCATCATTATTAAGATTTTTGGTGAAATTTCTTTGAAGAACTTAGACTAAGACACAGATTTCAGTGCAACATATATGAAACGTAAATTCTACACACAAACAAAATTTAAGCGACAACTTGACGATAACAGAACTTTAACACTTAAGATCCAGGTTTTCAACTTCAATGTGAAATCACTGCTACTATACGGATCAGAGACTTGTCGCGTCTTGAAAGGCACTTCAAATAAACTACAGATCTTCACCAACATCTGCCTTCACTCAGTACTCAAGATTAGATGGCCAGAAAAGATCAACAACAGAGATCTCTGGGAGCGAACCAACCAGAAACCAATTGTGCAGCAAAAATGCAGGAAGAAATGGAGGTGGATTGGCCATACTCTGGAAAAACCATCAAGTGATATCACACGACGGGATCTCGAGTGGAACCCGAACGGGAAGCGGGTGACATGCGAAGAGGAGATAATAATAATAATTTGCTTTATTCCAAAAACAGTACTAATGATACAGCAAGGAATTTTCAGCATTCAGAACAATATTGCATCTAATTTACTCAAAAACAAAAAAAAAATTAAAAATACCTGATGAGATACAAGGGGATAGGTGTGAATAAAGGGGGTGCAGAGGGTCTGACAGTATAGCCTTTGCCCACTTTGTACAGGAATCTATATGCCTCTCGACTATAGTATTAGCGAGCTCATGCATTGGCAGACCACAAGCTCTACTCACAGCATTTAATACTCTTCGTAATATGATATAATCTTTTTTGAGCAGCCCAGGAAAGATTAATGGAGAGCAGTATAGTACAATAGGTAAAATACAGGAGTTTAGAAATTGCAAAACTAAAGGTTGGTTGATACCTGATTGTCTTAACTTTTTAATGTAGAAGGTAAGACGAAACATTTTCTTAGAGATAGATAAGATGTGGTATGACCATGAAAGGTCAGAGGAAAGCATGTGGGCGGACATGAAGCTAACTGAAAACGCTGGCGGATAACCGAAACGCAATGGAGACGTGCGGCTGAAGCCCTATGTTCCTCTGGAAACTAAAGGAAACAATAAGAATAATAATACTTCCAGATTTTGCTATTAAAACCTTCAAAGCTGAAGAATTATTATAAACCATAAGAAGTAACTAAAAAAACTAAAAGTAATTTCATATTAGTCTGGCCCACTTGATAGGACTAAATGTTTAAACAAAATATAATTTGAGATGATACGTTAGGTTAAAATGTCACAACAACCAACTCATCATTATGTGCCTTATAACGTAACGCTATGCATTATTGAATGATGTTATATTAAAATCCTACTGTATCGAAATAGTGATTTTTCGTAAGTTTCTTTGAAAGTGTTTTTTGTTTTTTTTCTCTAACTGTTTACAAACATTGAAGGTTCTCAAACATAATTTGATCTATTTACACAATATATATATATATATATATATATATATATATATATATATATATATAGGTTTTGACGTTGTTCATGCATTTCTTTTCTATTTTCAACACATTAGCATATTATTAACAAGAAGAGGATGGTATTCACTTTATTTCTTGCAAGTGGAAATTGAATGGTTCTAGAATTTCTAAATTTCTTTTAAGTACATATTAGACGTCATCTTACAATAGCTATTAGAATATTTCATTAAACTCTTGATAGCCTCAACGAAGATATGGCACTATGGTTTTTCTTAATAAGAGGAGAAAAACAGCTGCACAAACCACTCTGAAGAGAGCTTCATTATACAACTTTAAGGTCATAAAATACTTCGTAACTGGTCTACTTCTTTTAAGTTATATTAGAGGCAGGGGTTTTGTGAAAAAGACTTACAGATGGAAATGGGGATAGAAAGTACTTGGTCTAGGTTATATTATCAGTATTAACTTCATTGGGAGGTGACATATCACTTAATGATAACAAAGATATATAAATCACTGACTGAGAATACTTGTACCAGTAAAATCCGGAGGTAGGTACGGATATTTCTGGTTCTTGTTGTTTGAGTAGAAGTAAATTCCAGTCATCTTTTATGACTGCATTCAGCATAGGTCGTATTTCAATCGAAATGCAGGTGTATTATTTGGATATACTGCATTCCATCCAAGCAAATGTTTCTTTAGCATTTACTTCTGATTCCCGACTCAGTAACTGCTACTTTGTACGGCATGACTTATTCATAATCAAAGTACATTGAACAGCTCAGGCAACATTACGTACTGCCACACATTGTTTCAACATTTACTACCACTTTTAATATGAGCTCACCATATATATGTGTCAATGAAAGATACAATTCTTATTATTTTTTTACAGACCTGGATACTATTTTATCTCAGAAATTCTTCTCACTTTTGGAATTATCTTCCTGGGAGTTACGCAAGTTATTGGTGACGAAAATAGTTTGGAAGTTTTTCGTTCACACATAAATGATTGTTACACAAATTCCGCTGCATTAGGCGAAAGCTTAATTTCCTGTTTACAATGTGTTCAAAACAGTAAAGATGAATGCAACAGAGTCTGTCTTTCTACCGAAGAAGATGAATCTGAGTGTACTCGTAACTGTTGGAGATATGCTAAATATGGAACATTCTCTTGTAGAACGAATCTTGGATAGCATGTTCGGGATAAATCATTTTCTGAACAGAACACAAGATATTTTATTAAGTTAAATAATTCAATTTAAGCAAAGTAACTGTTTTATAATAAAATATTTGTGCAAGCATTATTCATTTGTTTAGTTGTACTAATCATATAATACAAAAATGTATTTGTTTGATGATACGAGAAAAACGTTACTCTTGAATCGACTTCAAGTAAAAATGATTCTGAAATAACCATTATTTTCGTCATCATTCAGTTATTTCCCACAGTGATTGCTTGTAGAAATAAAACATACATTTTATTAAAATGTATACCTGAAGCACATCAGTACAGCTAGAGAATAACATTAATTTCAAACCAGTGGTACGTGCCACATTTCCATTCCGGTATTTTTATTTCACATGGTAAAATAACTACAGCGTACAGCAACTCGGTTAAGTGTCTATAAACTCGATCTCAGAGTGAAAAAATCCCATCATCATGAGTTAATACTTCCCGTGATTAACCGTATACACGGTAGTGGGCTTCAAGCCAGTAAACAATATATGTTTAGTGATTTCTCATTTTCAGGAGTTTTCAAATGATAACAGTTCACCTCTCCGTGCCCTTGACTCCTTAAGAAAATTAAGTAGACATCATCAGTTTGAAAGAATCCTATTTTCAACGTTGACCATTTTTCTTTATTATTCTGAAATTGGCTGTCCTAAAAATTGACACTTGTTTTTAAAAAAAGGTAGGGGAAACTCGAATACATAAATATGCAACAAGGATTTACAGAATTATTTCAGATACTATTGTATTCATTCAGCTGCTTTGCCACCTCAGTAAATTAAGAGGTTAATGCAAATAATTTACAGATCATACTATATTTTTTGCAACTTGGCCACCACTATAAAAGAAAAACTTTGAGTGGTGGATAATTGTATTTCTTTCACTTTAGGAATAGTATATCATGTGCTGTATGGAAAGACTTAACATATATAGGGTCCCCATCATAGTCATAAATTGTCCATTGTTAAAGTAAAAAATTAGTCTAAGATCACAGACAGATACTGACAGAATGTTTCAGTTCCGGATTGTAAGGACAGGTGATGTATCATGAACCACTGTTTGCGTGATGTGTAGATCAGGTATTTCGTCCTAACGTAGATTAAGCCTCACTAAACTGAATATTTATTGGTATGCGCTATTCAGTCAGAACATAGTTTGTTATATTGTAGTTTATTGGACATATAAAATAACTACATAATTAGCTGTAACTTCTAGTGATACTTTTTTCACTGGAATCTTTGCCTTCCCAGTCAATCTTCTGCACCTTTTCAGTACGGGAAGGGGAGTCGAGTGATGAGTCATAAATGGTTGAGCGTTACAGTAACAGTGGAATGAACCTAAGGTCATACTTATGACATCTGGACAGCATTGCATTCCTATCTAAAATGCGTACACCTTATCTGATGTGCGGCGCTTCCCTATAATAAGTGGAATACTTGCATGACTCTATTAGTTACTATCATTTTGTAGAAATGAGGATACAATATATACATTACCTGTCACATTTAAGCTGAGCATATCTCCATGGATCTTCTGAATATAATTATGATTTCAATCCAATTTAAAATGATTCTCTGGAACTATTTTTGGAAATCTTTCCGCTCGAATTCAGGTTCATTCGTAAAACTGTGGAGTTCAGACATTCCTGGACAGTCAGCTAACTCAGGCTTCTGCTAAATATCTCCGCTTATTTTCCTCAGTAAAGGATTTGATTATGTTCACCAACTTTAATCAGCCTTATTCACTAAGAAAATTCTGCATGCGATCATCTTTAATCTTAGTTGATCACAGAATGTTAAAGTTTTTGAGAAAAACACCACTTATTTTGATTATTCATTTGTATTCAGACTTTATCACGCAAAACACTTGAAAAGATGTAGTATCCTACTATGGTCATCATAACCCTACGTTATCACTGTCAGATATTTAAGCCAGTCCACAAATATATTCATGAAAAATGGGGTTATTAAAGCACCTACAACCTAGTAAACAATTATTGATATAAGAATAAAACTTGTGCACTGTGGTAGAGTGTAATTCCATTATGGGTAAAATTTATTTTGATAAAGTCTCACAGTGTTATACAGTAATGTTTACTGATGACGTTTCGAGCACAATTTATTGCTCATAATCATATCAAGGTAATCACACGACTTCCTAGATTCTGACTATATAAATGAATTTAGGAAGTCGTGTGATCACCGTGATATGATTATGAGCAATAAATTGTGCTCGAAACGTCATCAGTAAACATTACTGTGAGACTTTATCAAAACAAAATTTACCCATAGTAGTAAACAATTAGTAAGGACTTTTGTTTTATCATTCCCTAAATGAAATTAACAATCTAGCCACTGAAGTGGGAAGAAATGTGTTTGATATTAACCACTATAATATCCTATATTTGCCGTAAATTGTGCATTTACTTATACGTACTATTTAAAAAGTCTAAGGTGATTGAGAATCAGTTCACCAGTTTTCCTCATCCCTTGAACTTCTTGGTCTAAAATTGCCCAGAACATTAATAACAACATTCTTGATGCTTCCTCACACTCTTGAAATGGTAGATTAGTCTAACATTTTAAGTCAAATGTGTCGTATACCGCTGGTGGTGGCGACATACACAGAGACTAGCTTTTCTATTCTCAGCTCATTAATTAGTTGCACGCATTTATTAAACATATTTTACTGAATATTTTCATGATAGTAAAAATACGTGCAAACTAAGTTGTCTAACAAGACACAGTCACGTTCTATACACATAGATATGATTGCATTGAGACATTAATAAGGTACCCTGAACTATAAATTTCACCGTAAAGTTCAGTTTATGTCTTCCACTTCTCAATGTACATAGCATGCAGATATTTTAATTATTTTGTATAACAAAATTCATACCTGATTACAATTCATAACTCACTGGTTTACATGTGGGTGTGAAATTGTGAGTTGAGACGCCCCTCATTCTCACCATACGATTGGATTCCAATGTATAATAATAATAAGTAGGATAACAGTGAACTTATGCAAAATATTTTTGTTTATCTTAATTTAATTAAGATAAGGTGACGGTTAAATTGAAAGATATTTAGGATAACTAATCTGTCAACATAATTAAAAGCCAAACGAATTCACATAAACTGATTATCCTAAACATTCAGAGATAATTTAAGTGTAAAAGCATAAAGCATCATGAGTGAGAATAAAAGTTGTCGTGAGGTATCTTCGTGCCTAGTACGGCAGACGTAACAGCAGATATTCTAGCTGCGTAAATATGTTGATATGACACCATTAAAACATTTGATATAATGACAGCATTCCTCCAGGCCCGTAATGCAAAGTCAACTACCTAAGAAATTCAAGGCATAACTGACCGCCTGTATTCTATCTATACAAATACATTGAAACGAAAGTGCAGCACATTTGATCTACAATAGGTTATATCCTCATCCATGCATCACTGATGAATGTGATTTTGAACAAAGAAAGAAGAAACACTGGGGCAGAATAATCTGGATCCATTTTATTTTGTCGGTTCTCATCAGCTGCGTACAACCTGAATTCTTTATCAAAATAATCAATATTAATAATAAATAATAAAATACCTCCAAATGCGTATACCAATTCACACGTATCTGCGGGAGCAGTTACACTGGAAGAACAGGGAGGAGGGCCTATGTCAGATTCTGCGAACATGTACCAAGAAGCCTACGGTCAAAGGGACGGAGTTATTTAAGCTCTTCAATCGCCAAACACCTGATTGACACAGGACACCGAGTAGATATGCTGGAATCATTCAAAATAATTAACTGACAAAGTACCCCAAGTCTTGTCAAATTTGCTGAAGCTATAGCAATAAAACGATTGAAGCCTGACTTATGTGTCCAAAAAAATCCGTTGTTGGACTTCAATTACCCTGGTGACTCACATCTTTGTAACTTTTTGTTTTCTAGTTTTGTTAACTTATCTCTTCACTCCTCCCTTTATTTTTCACTTGACTCTCTTAAGAGATAATTTTTCTTGATCTTCTGAGTTCTTCTCACTGTATTACACCATCAGCTCCTCATATGACCTCATGTGCACCGAAAGTTTGATCTTCTCTTATCTATAACTAATTTATTTTCGATGCCACCCCAGCAACACAAATGTCAATTAATTTTTTCCAAGAAACTTCTCTCTAACAAGATATATATATGTGGTAACACTTTAGACACCCTGTAAATCTCAACGCCTTATTTCACTATGACGCTCTGACAATGTGCTTGCTAATAGGCAAACATTTGTTAAAATTGTACACTTTTTTATTTTATTACAGAGTTCAGTTTGTACGCAGGTGATGAGATCTGTAAGCTACATAGAATCTCCTATAGAAGGTTTTTCACTAGGCTTTTCTCAGATAGAGACTCTGAGCAGCTTTCGGAGGAATGTTGAAGCTGGCGAGGTATTAAACAATATTAAACTAGAAATACTTTTAAACGGATAGTGAAAAATTTAAATTTTTATGCTTAGGATTTCATTTGTATTCATATGCAAATTAAAAATTAATATGGTCTCACGACAGATTTGTGCTATAACATTTTATTGAAATTATGAAGCCATTCGACTGTAATTTGTGTCATCTACATTGTACACAAAATTTATTTTCTTCTTAGGCTTACTTTAACCGGAATTCACACTGATTTGACGCTGCATTCAGTGGTTACAATGGGGTCCAATTGAAATGGTTACTTTTTTATCATACAGAATTCGTAAACCAGCACTGATAAAAGACGATATTAGTGCATCAGTACCTGAAACAATACGGTTAGTATTATGTGTAACTTGTCGTTAAAACGTGGTTGTCCAACTAAATGGGTTACAGTCATGACCGTATGATGGCGATATATGAATAAAACCTGTGGACTGTGATAAAGTATAATTCCATTATGGGTAAAATTTATTTTGATAAAGTCTCACAGTGTTATACAGTAATATTTACTGATGACGATTCGAGCACAATCTCTTGCTCATAATCATATCAAGGTGATATGATATAATTATGAGCGATATAAACTTCGGTGGCATACTGGTTAGGA